TGCGAAAAACGCCCAATAGGGCGACTTAAGCAAAATGGAGAATGCCTTGTGATACAGAAAACGAGTGTGATTAATGACCTGCATTTGAAGAATCGAACGAACAAACAAGACCAGCAGAAACCTAAGTACATTTGCTGACGTTTTCAACTTAAGTATTTCCACGCATCTAAACCAGGCGCGCCAATTTATACCTGTCCATCAGTGGGTTCCAACTGTTGTAACGTGGCCAAAACGAACACTGCAGTTTTGCCCATACCCGATTTCGCCTGACAAACGATATCCATACCAAGAATTGCCTGTGGGATGCATTCATGTTGAACTAGAATCATATTAATTATTTTGATTTATCATTCATTGTACATTTACTAAATTACGGTTAAATTTTCGGTAACATTAGTAGTTTTTGATATAATGTATCAATTTCATCAACTGGATTGCTCAGCGCCATACAGTTATATCACTCTTAATTAGATGAAAAGGCCATTTACGCAGATTACGGCTCCACGTAATCTGGCAACTGCATCTGCAGCATATCGATGTAGCGTGAATCATTTTACTTGTTCATCACCAGTAACTTTTCTGAATAGAGAACTCGTATATTTTGCCAGCAACAAAATGGGTTGGAAAGTTAATATACCACAAACTACGCATAAATCTATCAGTCGAGTTATACTGGATCATAGCATGTCCACATATGCAGTAATTCAGAGAAATATATTGATATAGGCCTGGCTAACATATTCGATTCGAGATAAAATGCGCCATAAAATTAAAAATACTATGCAACCTTGTCTGCTTAACTGACTTCGAATGCACAGGAAAATACAGAGGCGGAGCACTGGTGCACGTTACAGCGGTAATTGGGATAATAACTGTACATATTACCTGCGCCATTACCTCATTCAACACTTGGCAATGGAAACAGCAATATTTTCTTGACGAAATCACCCAAATGGTCTTAGTTCAAACGGGGTTAGGACTAGTTAAAAAGCTGTTCCGATGTTACGCAGATCATCGATTTGCTACCCGTTTTGGTTGGCTGCGCCAAAGTAAGGTGTGGTGAATTCCTCCCATCCTTACCATTTAACCAGAATTTTACACCGCGCTGAGATTCTAGATTCACACTTTCTCAAGAGAAAACAAGCATTTTACTGCTTATCATAACATTCGTGAAACAGAAGTTAATTATTTCAATTAATCTTTTCGGAGTGAAATTCAGGAATCTTAACGGCTGCCGCTATCTTACGACTACAGCT